AAAAAAAAATTTTAAAAAGAAAAGCTGGGTCTTATATTTCTCATATGGTGCCTAAATCAAAGAAACGAAAAGACTGAGGACTTCAAAGATAAGATGAAGCTCTTATTTCCTAAAACAAACAAAGGAGCATCAACAAAGTCCATGTTTTATTTTCTTTGCTCTATTATACCTGTGAGAAGGGAAATTTTATGTTGTGCTGCAATGAAAACAAAATATAGGAGGAAACATGATAATGTACCTGATATGAGGTTCCAACTTAATGAAGCCATTTCTAAGTTTATAAAAGTGTGTGACTGAATGCTTCTCATTTCTTACAGCGATTAGTTGGTCTATGAACTCACTCTGAACTATCTGGGTACTTTATTCCATTCTACAGTTTTTAAAAGCGTTCTGTGATAAAATAGTGTGGAAAGTGCTGACCTGGAGTGCCCTGGGCAGAAGGGGTGCAATGGGACCCTGGGGATGAGCCACAGAAGAACCAGAGAGAAGAATGGTTGGGGCAGGCAAAGGGGCCAGTGGTGAATGCTCTAAGGAAGGAACCAGTTTCATCAAGTGTGAAAACCTGTAAGCTGGGTCTTTCAGGATGGGCAAGTGAGTTCAGCAAGGAGGGACTGGGGTGGTGAGGAGGAAAGCGCCCGAGGAGGAGGAAACAGCAAGAAGAAAGATACGAAGGGAAAAGAGTACAGTAAGTACAGTAACACTGAGTAATCCCTTAAATGAACAGGTCAGGGCTTAAAGGTGGAGGCTTTGACCAACGGGCTTCAAACTTAGTCACAGGCAATGGCAAGCTGTTGGAGAGTACTGAGCAGGGAAGTGACATGATTTGAGATGTGACTTCAGAAAGCTTCAGGAAGCTTAATCCAGGAAGCTTAAACAAGGAGCAAGAAAAACTGACTGAGAGAGATGGAAGGTAGACCAGCGAAGTTGTGCCAATGGGAGGTGATGATGCTGGCCCCTCAGGAGATCCTGCAGAAGACTCCGCAGGGCTTGGTGGGCAGACAGCTTGGCTTACGTTCTGCTTGTGTGTGTCTGTGGCACTATTAGAAGTGAGTTGGTTTGAGAAGTGGGAGATGGGGAACAATAACAGACCTTTTGTGAACCTGCAACATGTTACTCATTGTTGAAACTCCAGGAACAAAACCCATATAAGATCCTCAGGACTGGAAATACTATAGAGTTGGGATTATCTTCGAGGAGAATACAATGGATGAGATTGACCAGGGAGAGAATATGCGGGAAAATCTGTATCTAGGGGAAGGAAGAAGAAGAGAGGCAGTAATAAAGGTGGAGGGGAGAGAGAAGAAAGAAAAAGGAGGAAAGCAAATTTATCATCACCCGAGTAGGCTAACGGCCTGGCTGGATGCTTTACCTAATTAATTTGTTTTGTTTTCACATAAATCTATGAGATGGGTACAATTCTCTACATTTTACAGATCAGAAAACTGAGGTTCAGAGATGCTAAATAATTTTCCTAAGTGGAGATAGAATTTTCAGCTAAGCATGACTACAGAGCCTCAGATTATTCTGTTTATCCTGTCGCCTCTCAGGGAAGGAGTCAATGGGTAGGAGTTGAGCAAGAATAGTAGGTTGTCACCTAAAGAAAAGAAGGGGGTGGCAGTCAGCATCACGGGGAGTTTAAAGGAGACACTGCAGATCATAAACACTTGAGTCTGAGACTACATGCAGTCAAAGGAAGAGGGAGGAAAAGACATTGGATTTGATCATCCAGAGCTGTAGGTCACTGCTTAACAAAATTCCCAAGGAAGATGTTGAAAACTTACTGAGCAGGGGCTCCTGAAAGACTCATCCTAAACCTAAAACATGCTTAGAACTGGGGTTAGTTTGGGCTGCATATGTATTGCAATCACTCTAAAATTATAGGACAACGTGGGGTGTCTGGGTGGCTCAGTTGGTTCAGCATCTGACTCTGGATTTTGGCTCAGGTCGTGATCTCATGGTTTGTGAGATCAAGCCCCAGGCATGGAGCTCGTTTGGGATTCTCTCCCCCTTTCTCTGCCCCTCTACCACTCACGCTTTCCCTCTCTAAATAAATAAATAAATAAATACATAAATAAATAAACAAACAAACATTTAAAATTGTAGGTCAGGGGCGCCTGGGTAGCTCAGTTGGTTAAGCATCCGACTTTGGCTCAGATCATAATCTCATGGTTCATGAGTTGGAGTCCCTCATCGGACTTTCTGCTGTCAGCACAGCAGACTCTCTCCGCCCTTCCCCACTCTCTCTCTCTCAAAAATAAATAAGCATTTTAAAGAATAAAATAAAATTGTAAGACAATGTAAATGGGTCAATTCTGTGCAAGGCACTCTGCATAAACAAAGTTGAGGTGGTTTCTAGAAAATATAAACTATGGTCTCTGCCTTACAGAGGTTGCCATCTACTTGGGGAAATGAGAAATAAACATACTGACATTTGCACAATGCACAATTTAAATGCCCAGTTCAAATTTCAAATGACAGGGGCGCCCGGGTGTCTCAGCTGGTTAAGTGTCCGACTTTGGCTCCGCTCATCTCATGGATCCTGGGTTCAAGGCCCACGTTGGGCTCTGTGCTGACAGCTCAGAGCCTGGAGCCCACTTCGGATTCTGTGTCTCACTCTCTCTGATCCTCCCGCACTCACACTCTCTCTCTCTTTCTCTCTCTCTCAAATATAAATAAACATTTAAAAAATTTTGTTTTAAACCCACAAATTTCTTTTTTTTTAATTTATTTTTTATTATTTTTTTTAACATTTATTTATTTTTGAGACAGAGAGAGACAGAGCATGAACGGGGCAGGGGCAGAGAGAGAGGAAGACACAGAATCAGAAGCAGGCTCCAGGCTCTGAGCCATCAGCTCAGAGCCCGATGTGGGGCTCGAACCCACGGACCGCGAGATCGTGACCTGAGCTGAAGTCGGACGCTTAACCGACTGAGCCACCCAGGTGCCCCTAAACCCACAAATTTCAAATGACAAATTTGTCACATGGCTGTGTCGACTAGTTGCCAAGTCAATTGTACCAGTCATAAATGCAAAAGAAATGCAAAATAAGTGAAGGGAGGAAGAAACCACCTCAGCCGCTATAATCGAACTAAGGCTCCAGAGGGGAGGGGAGATTTTAATCA